CCTAATTGTCTGTCCAGTATAACTTATATTTATTACAATATATCTTTCACCACTACTGATATTATATGGATGTTTTATTCATATTTTATATTCCACAATATGTTAAATAAAGCTCAGATTTATTAATGTATAGTATTCCAGTAAAGATATGGATATTAATTTCTCATGTGTTAATCAATGAATTCTGTAAACACCATTATCAAGGAAGCCCAATCACCATGATCACTGTAATCACTAATCTCTAATCATCATGATCGCTATATTAAGTATGATTACTGTAATCTCTAATCACCATGATCTCTAATTATAATGATCATTGTGACCTAATCTAATCTCAAGCCTAATCAATCACTGTAATCACTATGATCTGTATTGAACACCATGATCACTGTAAGCTTTTCAACATAATTGCTGTAAACAGTGATCATACTGATCAAATCGATGATACTGATTACAGTGAATGACCATACTGATTACTGTGATTATCCTACATTATAGTGATCAGTATTATCAAGGTAATCAGTATGATGACTATCAGGAAAATTATTATGATTATAGTGATTAAAGTGATCTTAGTGAATACAATGATTATTCTGACAAGTCATTGACTACAGTGATTATACTGAATACAGTGATTATACTGTTTAATACTGAGTGATTATACTGATACTACAGTGATTATACTGACTACAGTGATTATACTGTATAATACTGCGTGATTATACTGACTACAGTGATTATACTGACTACAGTGATTATACTGACTACAGTGATTATACTGAGTGATTATACTGTGATCAATGTAATCAGTATAATCAATATGGTAATTTTAATCAGATTACAATGAAATCACTTTTATCATTTTATTTCCCTTGAAAATGAATTTTATTAACAAATATTTGAGAAGCACTTCATAATTTACATTAGAACAATACACAATAAATAACGTGAGATTTAACAACAAATATATCACAGTTTTGCTTCAAACATTAAATTAGAGACAATAATTCATATAAACATGAAAATACATAGCAAACAGCCAAAATTTTAGAATGCAAATGGACAGTAAAAGTTAAGGAAATTGTTTGATAAGGGATAAAATATACATTTAATGCAAGACATTATGTGCAAGCGTTGTAAATTAAAATTTTGAATAATCATTTGCTTTAATATTATTACTGCAGGTTCTACAAAAACAAATGGATAAATTTCTAGGTGTCATTAGGAAAGAACATGTTGCCACTTTCAATGGAATGTTTTCAAGCCTTAAGAGATGTACTTTATGTGACAGCCAATCTACTACACTACAACACTTCAAATGAACCAGAGCAGGGCACCTTAAGTTTGAAAAGTTTCTAAAAAATTCTCTGAGTATTTAAAGTAATTGTGACAAACATTGTGCTGCCATCTAGTTAAATAACAAACAATGAAATTCATAAATAATGATTATGAGAAATAATTTGTACAAAGAAACTCTATAACAGAAGACAAACACAACTTTTTTGCAAATGGACGGAATGCTAAATAAGGGATGTAGAAACATCAAGTGAGACACATTGGAAATATTGGTATCTACGTATATAGTGTGTGCTTATATGAGATCATTGAATAATGCATAGTTTTATAAAAGTGATCTTTAGAGAAAGAGGTTTGAAAGGATAAGTTTACTTGTCAATATTACATACATTATGTAGAAGCTGATATTTTCTAACTTTCTAACACATAATGACCATCAGCATATATCCTGTACCTAATGAAATACCAGTTCTTTTTCTCACATAACAATCGGGACCAGATCTTTGTCATGCCTGTATTGGCAGTCACTCTGCCTGGAGCTTCAAACAAATGCCTTTTAAATCTCGGCCATGTTACACTTTACAGAGACAAAAAGTTTGGAATCAACTGCACTGGATCACATGCTGGCACTATATTCTAAGATATGTCTGGTAGTTTGAGTCTATAGTTATGATCATCTAGTCTTCTATCATCTATATTGATTATAAGGATTACTATGAGGATTGATATTTTGATGTGGTGGACCAGTATATCGTTGATGATGAGCTATTTCAGCCTCCAATTCTTGTAGTTCAGATTTTAATTTTGCGTTCATTCCATGTATTGCATCTACAATATATAACAATAAGTTTGATGGTTTTCATATTTACTGTCATGCTTGTGTTTTATAGTTTCATTTGTTCTGTAGCACAATCAACTTTACATGATAGCATTTGCTTGATAACATCTATAGTGGTTGTGGGTTCTTATCTCTGTCGATCAAATGCAAGGGGAAGATCAATGCCAAGAGGTTTGGTGAAGGACAAGCTTGTAGAAAGTATCCAAGTGAACCTTAGCTGTTATCCTTAAAATAGTAAGTTTTAGGGTTTTTTCTTTCTGGTACTTCCATTTAAAGAGCCTTGGAGTAAATTAAAGCACAGCCTATAGCACAGCACAGGATATATAAGATCTTACTTTCTGTATGATAGCTCAGTTAGAATTGGAATTAGATTCAAATCTGTCTCACAAGACTGTGCTTCTGAGAGACAGCAACGTGATAAGATAAGGCTATTTCAATCTTACCTGAATTTGAGCCTTGAGACACTTTTCTATCTCCTATTGGTCTATTGGGGGAACCTTAAATAAATAATTATATTGTAAATATTTATTCTACACCTAACTGATTCATTAATCATAGATATGAATATGTGACAAGAGTTTGAGTTTGCCATTTTCCATCTCACAAACACTTTCACAAATCATTCTCAAGATTCTACAATTGTATTTTAATTAAAGGGACAGGTGTGCCATTTTTTGGACCAATCATACTTTAGTCTCAGAAACGGGAATTTTTTAGCTATGCCAATCAGTAATAGTGATCATAGCTCACCATCGAAATTTGAGACTTAAAATCCATGTGTGTCCGGAATTATTTAAAGTTAAAAAGACTAGTCATCTTTATTGAGACACTGCCATTTAGACATATATAGAAATAGGAAAATAAATTCCTATTTTTGAAGGAATTATGCGATTTTTGACAATTCTAGTGCTTATGAAGACAACTACAGTTTGTTTCCATGCTGAGACTAATAAGGTGATACACTTTCATTTCACAAAATTTCAAAAACCATAAGAAAAATTAAAAAAAACTAGGGCTGAATTCTCAAAAACCTCACTAAGATAAAAAATCACGATTTTAAGAAAAAGAATAATCTGATTAGATAATAAAACTAAAATCAAAATCAATTTTAGTGATTGACCAATTAGATCATATTGAAATTATCTTAAGTGAGATCTTGAAGAAAAAGAACCCAAATAGTAAAACCACAGATTGGAAGTGTATTTGAAAGAGACATGCTTTCAGGAAGATAAATACCCATATAGTGATTTATTGTAGAGAACCTTTCCCCATATTCAGAAAATAACAACAAAAATAACAAACAGTTTGTGCTAAAGATATATCAAGTGATGACTGTACAACAATTTATCTGCCCCATTTCTCCATAAGAAAACCAAACTTATGATAAACTTTTTGAGAAATGGGGCCCTACAAGTACCTGATTATTTTTACTTCTAATAGGGATTTTTCCATTTTTAACTACAAATACAAACCCAAGATTAGGATACATATGATAAATAACTAAGACCACATATAGGGAGACAATAGAATGATTTGAATTGATATTGTCATGAATCCCTTAAATTCGGCCTTAATATCAAAGTCCTATCATAATTAAAAAGAGAATTCAAAACCAAAATCCATTTCAAATAAAAGCAGAAAAATATATTGACTCACCTTGTCTGTGTTTGACATTAGGACTTCCATGTGGTTTCGGGATCTGACTTCCCTGGGGTAAGGAAGGGTGTGCACCATGAGGTATAGGGGGATGTCCACCTTGAGGTATTGGAGGATGACCACCATGATGTAATGGAGGATGACCACCATGAGGTATTGGAGGTTGATCTTGAATACCTCCATTCAGAGGAATATCTAATTGCCTGGAATATAATATCCATTTTATTTTTAAATCTGTTTCAATTTGTGGTATTTATTTGGGATATGACCAATAGTTAACATGTAATAAAAGGATTTTAATATTTTCATAATATCTAACTTATTGAATTAGATACAGGAGGCACTTAATATTTTCTGCTATCTAAGAAGGTTAAATGAATCTCTACAAAAGAAAAAAAAGAACCTACCCTTGTGAATGACGATTGATGGTATCTGAAAGACGATGAGGTGGACGTTGTGGGTGACCAGCTACTCCTGGTGGTGGAGGAGGACGTGTTCTATTATTAGGTGCGTAACCAATCTGATTTGGGTCAGGACGTGGCAAATCTTGATGCTAAAATGAAGAATTTCAGATCTTAAAGTTTGACCTTGAATGTTTGAAAAATAGGCATAGGCAACTCTATTTGGGCAAAATGTATGGGGACAAAGTTTGTTTAGTCCATTTTTTGAAATCTTGAGCAGACATTTTCCATGAACTTTTTCCTCTCCATAGATCTCCATCTTATCAGAAGCTGGTGCTAACCCTGATCTAATTCTATTTCTAGAAATGATGTTATACATTTCAATATCATAAAACCTACTGGTAATCTGGTAGGCATTCCTCGACTTCCAACAGGATGACTTTGACCTTGACCTGGAATAGGATACTGTTGACCACTGGGAAATGGTTGCCTTGGTGATGCTCTATCAGTCATATCAGGAGGTTCTACTTGAGAAGTGTTGCGAGATATCTGCTGCCAAGTATGTGGACTTATTGTCACTATTCTGTAAATGAATAGGATAAATATTAAATAGAATGCATGGTTAAAGAACCAAAATATGAAACCCCTTTTTTTATAAAATAGCACAGGTGGTTCAAATTGGAGATGTTTCTTTGAACCACAATGCTTTATTTCTAACCTTAAAATTTCTATGTTTTTTATTCTTTACTAGCTGTTCTTGATTATCGATTTCCATGTACTAAATTTCTCTGGTGATTTGTGCTTATTCTTTAAATTCCAAACAAGGCAAAAAAAAAAACTTGTATATACCTTTCTAGCTCCTCTACTCTCTTCATTAATTTTTCATTTTCTCTATAAAGACCTTGTTGTTCTCTTCTTATTCTATCTTTAGTAGAATGGTGGTCAGAATTCTCTGTTCTAAAATTAATAAAATAACCCAACTTATAATACAATGTGTATTTGTATGGGTAACCTGGTTTTCTTCTCTAATTGGAGAACAACTCAACAAAAGATAAGATAAATGAAGTAATATTTGTGAAAAGCCATCAAAGGCAGGGTCAGTAAAAACAATTTCTGAGATTTGAGACACTTCCTTAAACTATCATATACCATATAATTATGAATTATAATGTGCACCCTAAGATTGGCAAGCCTTTTAGAGTAAAAAACTGTGCATTATACACACAAATATCCAGTAATTATTACCTTAAAGCTTCATTCTCCACCATATATTCTTGTAACATTTCATATAACCCACTCTCTGTAATATACAATATATCTTGTACAGAATTTCATCTTTCACCAAGGCCCAAGGTTTTTTTTTGAAAATACGTTTTTTCATTTTAAAAATGTAATGATATTCAAATACTCTTTCAAATTGCATAAAATGCACGATTTAAGCAGTTTATTTTCCAAAATTTTCCCTCCTGACACACCCCAAAATGGATATGATAAAAAAATTGGCAGTTACCCTCCCAATCAAAATTTCTTAAGAATTTCAAATTTAGCTCCTACCTTTTCTTTCCTGTTCCTTCATAAATGTCATGAATTTTTCATCATTTTCTTTCTGAAGTTGACCTTTAGGTTTGGCAGGGAATTCTAGTTGTTGACGTAGATAATGGTTCTCATTTCTTAATACCTTCACTTCTCGCTTTAAACTGAGTATTAATTTTTCTCTAGGGTCCTACATGCAGTCAGAAATATGCTTTGTTAGAACATGACAGAGATAGGTGTACAGATGCAGTCTGACTTCCCTTTAATTTTTTCATTGATCTCTTCCACACTTGCATAATGTTGAAACAATTTGATGCATGTTCATTGACATTATGTCTGTTTTGGGTTGTTTTTTGTTGTTTGTAATATCATTTTCAGCTTTGAGTACAAATATCGTCTAAATGTCACAGTTTATTTAAGACAATAACCCTTCAAATTTACATTGGCCAGGGCGAGTTATTATGATTGAAGATATTGCACTGGAACCTCTAGGAAATATAATATTAGTAGCAATAGTTTGCCTATTTTACATGTACACTCCACATAGATCTTTATGACTTGAATGAATACAATTTTAAATATATTATGTCTTAATATTGCATTTTAGAAAATCAATCAAATAACTTTTGTGAAGCCTAAGCCCCTGTTAGTATTCTATAACTCACCATTTTAATGACTGGTTTTGTTTTGATTTTTTTAGCCCGACTGGCATATCGTAGTGTATTCAATGTTTCACCGGCATTGTGGGAACTTGGTGTTACACAGGCAATCTGAAAGGAATTATGGTATAGATGATTAGGTGATTGTTTAATTTCAATTCTGAGTATATGACGCTCAGTTGAATCAAAATAGAAAAATTAGAAATAGTCAAGTTGCAGAGTACAAAAGTATGTTTTGGAGTATATACAATGTTAAAGTGTTTTTTCTGCTTCAGATAGCCCTGAACACATTTCCAGAAGGTGCCATCCAAATACTAATTCGGTTATTTAGGGCTTCTAGGGCACCAATAGACAAATCAGGTCCCTTGATAAATACATAATATACGCTTGATATCCATTGAGATAAAAAAATAGATATAATATATATGCCTACCATTAGAGTGACACCGTTACCACCTAGTGAGTCTGCTAATAATTTAGTTAATTTACTATCTCGGTACGGTATGTGACCCTGACGTCTTTTAGAATCACCAAGATGTGAGATACAATTACCTAGAAAATATAATACAATTATACTACTGACTCAAAGATGCATAGTTTGGAGCACATGATTTTACTCCAGTTTAACTCAAGTATATCTTTCAGAGGGTTCACATGCAAGTCAAAACCCTATTCTCTTAGCTACATTAATAGCAATATGACACCCCTTCACAAAAGGTTGAAAACCACATTATTATAGATGTCCAGAAGCACAGAACAATTAGCTGTCTGTTATTTGACACACTAAAATAAATACAGCTGTGAAAAATATCAGAAGGATTTTATAATTCATAGAAATCTCGATTAATAGGAAATAAATACACTTACCCAATATTAGAAGACTTTTATTAATACAGTTAGCTTCTGATAAAGTTCCTCCAGTAGAATTGGTATCCCTTACTTTTTCACTTCCTATAAAAACACATCAGATTAATAAATAAGATTTTCCCCAAAATATGACCATGTGTCATTTGTCATGATAATTGTTTACATAAAATAAACCAAAGACGTAAATGATATCTGGAAAAATTCCAAAAAGACTAAAACTATAATCCCTATTTCTGGCATCTAGAACTGTGGAAAGTCAATGATCTTGATGATATTATCAATAGTTTATTTTAGAGAATTTGTGTAAGGGATGATTGTATTTAGAGGGCATATTGGGCTGAATATGATCTAGATGATACAATGTAATATTCCTTCAGAAATTTTGAACTTTGAAAAGAGTCCATTTTAAGACCCTTTTATCTGCAACTATGCTTTTTTTTCTTCAGGAAGATGTAGTAGTAGACCTTTCCATTGTTTCTATCTATAGGTATACTGTAGACAATGCAGAGGTGCTCTGCACAGCAAGTTTCTCAGGGAAAATCTGAAGAGGGCCACTCTGTTGACTCTGTGAGGTGCTTGATGCTCAGAGAGACAACTCTCAAAGTAGAACTGTTTGCACATACAGATACTGTAGTGACACGGAGGCGTTATACTGAGAGACTTTCCTTGCTGGAAAAACTCTTCACAGACACTCTGCAAAGGGAAACTATATAGAGACTTTAAGAAACAGTAAGTAACCAACTAAGTAGGTATGCTGTACAGAAACTCTGCCAAGAGTACTCTATAAAAGGGCTAGGAATAATCAAAATGCAGTAATCTACTTACCAGCAAGATCAACAAAAGTTAATTTTCCCCGTTTAGTAATATAGAGATTCTCATCATCCTGGTCCTGGGCTTCCGAGTCTATAGTCACTGTTAACATACTGTGACTTCTACTAGAGTTCTCATTTAATCCATGAGATCCATTTGTTCTGTTTCTCATACCTGAAGAGATAAATAAACAAAATGGCTTGAAATCAGTTTTTTCATTTCTTAATAACTGAACATTCCAAATGTAACTTTTCTCTTTACTTTGATATTATCATATAAATAAGTATACATCAAGTAAAAAAATATTTATATTTTAAGTAAAATTTACTATAGATTGAATTATAAATGCTGTAAAACAATTTGTATCATTCTTCCTTCCCCAATCTTTCAACCACTGAGCAACATGATTACAACACACATTCATATCACAAACCAAACATAAAATCACACACTCTAAAATAGGTGACTTTGCCTTAAAAAAATTTTTAATTTCTGTATGAAAAGTTTTACCTCTCCTTAGATTCCTAACATGAAACATAGGTCTTTGTTCAACATGGATACTTGAATAAGATATCGCATAATGGATGAAAAAGTTATTTACCTTCTGCTTGTGGAGGATTATTTGAAGTAGGTAATCCCATTTCAATATCCTCAACATCAAATTTTAATGGACCAATCAATTCACCATCATCAGTCTTAATATAAAATAAATACATATCCCCTCCTTCATATACTCCTTCTATATCACTATCATCAAAATCAGGAATATCATCACCGGGGTCAAAATTATGTGGATCCCGCGCCGATTCAATTGTTTCTAACTTGGGTCTCACATTCTCATGTTTATTATTACCAGATCCATCTGAAGATTTGCTAGTGTTTGCAGATGTTTCACGAGAGTTGCTTTTACTTCTCATAATGTATTGTGTCCCATTCGGATTGTAATAAGAAGGTAAAGGATCAACCATTCCTGATTTTCTACGACGATCACTTAATGACTCTCGTTGGTTCATTTCAGAATGATCACTGGTTGTTTTTGAGCTGCTACCACTCCCTTTAGTCTGTTGTTTTCTTTTTCCAATTTTTTTAATATTTTTTAGAAACTGAGTTGGGCTTCCTTCTGATCGACTGGTTTGACCTCCCTCTCTTTTCAGTAATTTGAGGGTGGGATTTTCAGTAGGGACATCAGACTCAGAATCTGTGGATGAACCAGAGGAAGATGACGAAGATGATGATGAAGAAGAAGAACTTCCAGAACCAGAACTTGAAGATGACGATGATCCTGAAGACTTTGATGAACCAGATTTTGATTCTTTCCCCTTTGATGAAGTGGATTTTGATTCTTTCCCCTTAGAGGACTGGGGCCCTTCTTCACCACTCTCTAGTTCAGTAATAACTACACCACTGGTCTTTTTGATCTGACTATATACATTAAAGGGATCTGATCCTTGTTCTTGATCAGGATTTCCCAAAAATATCAACTTTTGAAAAGTCTGGGGGTGGTCATCTGAACCATGTCCTGCAGCTTGATCTGGGTTTTCAGGGTCCACCTGATACACCAAATCTGGATAAGGAAATCCTGCAATCCCAGGAAAACTTATTGGTTGTCCATGTACAAAAAACTGGGGTTGAGGAAAATTTGTTCCCAGATATTGAGTTTGCTGTTGATTTGGATTAGGTTCAGCCTGAAACTGTGGTTGCCCTTCAGTAGTCTGAGGATTAGGAGAAGTCACTGTGGCTCTTCCAAATTCCGGATTCAAATGACCTGGTTGGCCATCTTGCTGTGAAGGATACACATGATGGTAAAATACTGGAGGTTTCTGGGCTGTATATGCTGTGGGAATAACCCTAGGAGTACAGTCTTGTTCATCAAAATCTTCTTTTAATTTGTTAAACGCTAGCCTCTTTAAGGACGGCACTGTTTGAACTGGTCTTGGACTACCAGGATAGTATTGTGTTTGTGATGGATCTATACCAGGGTAGGGATTTTGTGGTGCTCCTGGAAAATTTGGAAGTGGTGGTGCTGCTGAAGACACATTAGGGCTTGTTGCTGCTACTCTTGGAGTACCCCATGGATTCTCATCAGATTGAGCCACTTGAGGTTGAAATCCTCTAGGAGTATTTTCTTTAGAAGCTTTTCCAGGTTTCTGTGATTTCACTTTTGCCCTTGGACTTGGTGTGGATTCATTGTTATGTGTAGGTGGAACTTCTGGCTTTGGAGATAAACTTTTAGTTCCTTTTGAGGTGCTGGGGGTAGCAGTGCTTGGTGACTCAACTACTACTTGAGGATTTTTAGGTGATGCTCTTGGACTTGCTGGCACATTCTGTGTCTTTGTAAGCTGAGTTTCTTTGTGATCTTGAATTGGATCTTTTGGTACCTGGACTGTACTTGTCTCAGGGACCTTGTTGACCTTTGTTTGCTGATCAGGGTTTTCTTCTGTGGGAGAATCAAAATTTCGATTAGATGACTTCAAATCTCCAGAACCGTACCTCTCAATTTGTGGAATTTCTTGAGGTGGAGGCCTCTTTGATGGTTCTTTGGGTAAAAGTTGTTTAGATGGTTCCTTAGTGTCTGTTGGTGACTGACCAACTTTCAAAACACCATCAACCTTAGGACTTGTAGCAGGTCGTTTTTTAACTTTTGGGTGTGGACGATCACTAGTTATCTTCTCATCAGCTCTACTAACAACAGTACTTCTGGTGGTTAGTTTGTAAGCTTTAGTTCTAGGTGTATCTTGAGGAACATGTTGAACCTTGTAATATTTAGGGGGTGGTCTTTGGGTTGGGGAAAATAAAAAAGAATCTCTGTCAAAGAGTAGGTCCGTAGGAGAGGGGAAGCTCCCTAGACTTTGACTAGACACATCATCATCATATCCAAGTTTTGTCTGATCCCAATCAAAGTGTTTTTTCACATCTTTGTCTGGAGAATCTGATTTGATAAACGTGTGGCGATCACGTGCATAGGTGTCTCTCTTCCACTCAAATGGGTCTAACTCTAATTCCACAGAATCTAGGTAATCTCTTTTATCAGGTCTTCCAGTACTTTTACTACGTTTTTGTAAATATGTCGGCAAATTTTCAGATCTTGAACTCTTTAGTGACCTTTGTGAATGTAATCCTATTCTAAGATCATTGAATGATAGGCTGGATTTTGTGTTGGGAGCTGGTTTCCTAAAACTTAAATCTCCAACTGACTGACTCGATGTTAAATCCTGTGGGTTTCTAGACAAATTCACAGAGTTGAGTACTTCCAAATCACGAAGTATCCTTTTGTTCACCTGTTTATTTCTAGGTGATCCACTTAAAAGATTATCCAGATCCTCAGTAAATGAGAAGTCAGAATCACTTTCCACTTCTGGAGCTGACGGAACTAAAATAGTTGCAGGAGAAATCCTTGTCACTTTTTTAAACAATTCTGGCTCTTCTTCTGGTGGAGAATTTCCCTTTGGTTTGGCTTTCCATTGTTCAGGCACATTCTTTTTGACTGGTTTATCATTTTTGGCCAAATTTCTCCTATCCGTATTTTTAAAATTTGAAGTTTTAATTTGTTTTTTAAATCCGACTACACTTATTCCCCCACTGGGGTCTTCATCATCATCGTTGTCATAGAAACTGAGTGGATTTTTGGCCTTTTTCTTTGAATCAGGAGAACGTAAATCTACATTTGAATCCCAGCGAACTGATTTGGCTTGAGTGACGTTTCTCGATTTATTCAGAGGCATGTCAGTATTGTTACCATAAATTTTCTAAAAAAATGCTTTAATTAAGCCAGCTTTTGTTATATTGATATTGATGAAGTGGATATAAATGTTATTATTTAGATATTTACGGTAAAAAGTTAATAAGGTAAAAAGTTAATTAAGATTGAAGTTTGAATTGTATTGTATGTATAAAAATCTTGTAATGCCCGAGACAAAATTCAGTCTATTGGTCTAGCAGTTTATAAATAGTTCATAGATCAATAACATTGTCGCAGACACAATTTTTATTACTTTTGGATACAAATAAACACACACGATACAATTAGAGAACAATATCTCTTTTGATCATGGACTTAATCAAAGTTTATGAAACGGGGTGCAAGGATCACTGAGCCAATATTAAACTTGTTATACGTAAGTTGAGACATGTTGAAAACCAGGTCGTATCCAAGCATTTTGAATTCAAACTTTATTCACTATTGTATCCATGTACTAATTAGTCACTATATAATCCTAGTTATTGATTTAGAATCACATTTTTAATTTCACACTGACACAAAATATCACATATTTGAATTTAAGAAATATCTCCATGTTTCAGCTATCACAACATATTTCAATAGAAAATGTTTGAGTATTAGTTATGACAACAAGACCTAGGATATATCTAACAAAACTTTTTATACTTTTCATTCTGAATACCCTTTCAATACAAAGAGGTTTTTGTTAGTTGGTTAGTAATAGACATATATCAAACACCTTTTTGTCGTTATGTTTTGTGTTGTGTTCAATTGTATTGAGTACATTACGTCCATATAGTCACCATTGAACATTAAAAGGCAGACTTCAAATTCTCTCATTCATTTATTTCTGCAGTTTTCATTTTACATGTACTTTAATTGAATTCTGTTTCATTTGTTTTTGAGTACTCGATTTTGACACCTGATTGTTCTGTCTATCCTTATCAATAATCTGTCTAGACAAACACTGAACCTAGAATTCCAAATCAACTGTCAGGATGATGCTTTTTTTACGACCTACCTCCAAAATTCAATCATTGATTCCTTTTTAGCAATTACTTATTCCAAACAGTCATTCTGAACAATGCTTTCATTCATTCATTCTTGACTATTCAATCATTTATTTATTCATGCACTATTTACAAAGCATTCATTCATTTAGTCATTCATTCATTCATTTTACTCACCTTCCTCTAAAACAGCTTTCAGGTCATCCATGGCTGCACATTCTATTGAGAATAGATTCTCCACGTAGAATCCTTTATTTTTAGACCAGCGAACTGACAGGTATCTTTTATGGGATGGATTCAACAAATCTATTACCTAGTAACAAAAAAATAATTAAGATCAAAAGGATTGCACGATTAATTGAAGCGTATTTAGTCAGACTGTACATTAGAATTATAGTGGTTAAGTGTTCTACTCTTAGTTGACCTTTGTAAATCTGGTGATCATTGATACATGAGTAATGCAAGAAGACGAGCCGAGATTCTTAGAAATATAATTTCGAATAATTGTAGGATATAGAAGTTTTTTTTTCTTCAAATAAGTAAGTAAAAAAGGCAGTTTAATGGAAGCTAGATAAAACATTGCCTGCTTTCAAAAAGGAATGGATAGGACCATCTGTCTATTTTTGGACATCCTCACCAGATCTACTGAATATCTAATATGTCTACATAGATAAAGAAAAGTTACCTAACCTGTTCATTATAGATTTCTAAATACGATGCTCTAATGACAGTATTTTCTGGGCTGTTTTTAACTTGCTGATATAAATATTTAAATGATCTCTGTATTAAACCAATCATACTCTGATCAGTCAGGTTGCCATCTATAAACTATGAGAAAATAACAAATTAGAATTACGTAAAAAATAGTAGTGAATTACAATCACGTAAAAAAAAAAAATAACAAATTACAATCTCATGAAAAAAAATAACAAATTACAATCTCATGAAGAAAAAATAACAAATTACAATCTCATGAAGAAAAAATAACAAATTACAATCTCGTAAAAAAAAAAAAATAAAAACAAATTACAATCTTAAAATAATAATATATTACAATCTCGTAAAAAAAATAATAACAAAGTACAATCCAGTAAAAAGAAATAAAAAAAAATAACAAATTACAATCCAGTAAAAAATAATAAATTACAATCTCGTAAAAAATAACAATGAGAGAGAGATTTGAGAAAAACTGTTCAAAGGATTTTATGGATTAGTGCTTTATTATTATTATTCAATGCTTTATTGAAACAATAAGTTCAAATCTCATTCTGAAATTTTTCTATTTATCGCGTGTGATAAGATTATAAATGTGTAAGAAATTCTGTTCAATCTGTTAATTTAGGCGACAAAATGTATCACTATATAATTGATAACTTATGGTAAATTTCTTACAGTTTTACAGATGAAATATAAAAGGGATGATTAAATTAGACATTCTTAGTTTGTGCTAGATTGCTTGAAATATATATCACTACTTTCACCTGAGATACAACAGAACACTCTGACAGGGTTACTACACCACTGTAAGTTAGGGGAGAAATGCTTGCCTGAAGGACATGTAGCATTCATTTATATATAAAATTGTCAATTTCAATCAAGATTTTCAAAATGCTGGTATTTTGAACTTTTCTATATGAATGAATGTAAATCAGTGAAGACATTAGCTTTAAGAAGGAAGCATTTCTATGCACAGAAACTGTTGAAATCTATGTAGAAATTAAAGATTACTAAAATTTACTAGTCATAAATCACTAAAAGTATTGACTTTTCAATTTATGTTCTGAGACCTTGTTCAATGCTTTCATACAAATCCTTTTGATATATATATGTATTCCAATTTACAATAACACGATAAATATCAACATATACAATTCAACACAAAACACTTGTGCAAAAAAAACCCACCAAATGTGCGTAAACACACATACACACAAATTTCATGTCTTGATAGAAAACCGTGAACACTGAGAGCTACTGTTTCTTTAAAATTACAACAAAAACAGCCATCAAAGCACATTACAAAGACTATATCTTCACAAGAGAGTTGCCAAATTCTGGTATTTCAAATTATTTATCAAAAATGAAATATCAGAAGAAAGCTATATAATGTTACCTCTCTCTCTAAACTTGGGCTAGTAGCTGACTAAAATTCATTAGAAGATTAGAAAATAAATATTAAAGAAATTCTTTATTCATAATGTAAAGATAGCTTGCCAGGCAAGATAATATACGCCCACTGGCAGCTTTGATTTTTAATAAAAATATTTGACAGTACAGTAACAATCACCAGTATGAAATATTCAACCTTCTTTTGAACTTTTTGAGGCGATACTGAATAATATTATCAAAATCTCACAAGAATTGGTCCTTCTAGACTGTTAACAAGCTAAAAATTGAAAGCTTTTTCAAGAACAAGGGAAATAACTCATACTTAATATTTTTCAATTTTTCTGATTTTCGATAGGGTTTATACTTTGGTGATTACAAACACTCACACCAAGCTTCGTCAAAATCCGTCAAGAATTGTGCCTTCTAGAGTGTTTACAAGCTAAAATTGAACGCGTTTTCAATAGCAAGGGCAATAACTCATACTAATTATTTTCAATTTTTTTGATTTTCGATAGGGTTTATACTTTGGTGATTACAAACACTCACACCAAGTTTCGTCAAAATCCGTCAAGAATTGTGCCTTCTACAGTGTTTACAAGCTAAAATTGAACGCGTTTTCAAGAACAAGGGCAATAACTCATACTAATTATTTTTCAATTTTTTTGATTTTCAATAGGGTTTATCCTTGGGTGATTACCAACACTCATGCCAAGTTTCGTCAAAATCCTTCAAGAATTGTCCCTTCTAAAGTGTTTACAAGCTAAAAATTGAACGCGTTTTCAAGAACAAGGGCAATAACTCATACTAGATATTTTTCGATCTTTCTGATTTTCGATAGGGTTCATCCTTGGGTGATTACGAACACTCAAACCAAGTTTCGTCAAAATCCGTCAAGAATTGTTTACGAGCTCAAAATTGGACCGACGGACATGGGTGACGGCAATATATGCCCTCCATTTCATGTGGGCGTATAAAAAGTGCATTTTGTAAAATGCTAGAGCAAACAAAAATTAGAAGATAAAAATTCTATAACCCTTGGCAGTAGATAAAATACTTTACAAAAGATGGATACTTTCAGAGCCTTTAGAAAACCCATAAAATTGACAATGTTCTAATTTTATCATTCTTTTTTTCATCCATTCTGAAGAAATAATGTCTGGAGAACCCACAAGCATCACTTACATAGATAAAACTCCATGTCAGTTTGTAATCTAAAACATGCTATGTGAAGCTCACCCTCCAACTACATACATACATTAAATCTGAAGACTAAAGGGAGATAATACAATCATTCTATTACTCTAATTAAAGGCAATCAACAATTTTTATCAAATTTATTTTTGTGATAAGAAAAAAGCCAATATTAAAAGCATGAATGTTAATAAATTAATCTAAAGGTTAATTCTGCACTAAGTGTTAAACTAGAAAATGAAAGTAGAATCAAGATTACAGATTAGTTATAATTTACCTGATGAGGAGGACCAGTCATTGTGTGTGTTTTACCAGAACCTGTTTGACCAAACGCCAAAGCTGTACAAGCATACCTAATCAGATAGAAAAATCACTATGAAACCTATCTTATATGAAACTTTGATCAAGTCTACAGCATTAATGACATTTGAAAACAAATTTTTTTCTTCAAGTAAGACTCTATATCAACAGCTCAAGGACATCGAGAAACTCAACTTAAACAAATTTGGCTTTATTGTCACCATAATTTTAACAAATTTAATCAAAAAGGTTATCTCATCGTGTGATTCGGTAACTACATTTGGTTGAATTTTTTGATTTTTTGAACATTTGGCTATTAATTTCAGCTGTTCTGCACACAAAACCTACCCATTTAAAGCCATATCAACTAGTCTGGTAATACCACAATTCTCAAATAATTCTTCTTGTGTAGCATCTGGTTCAAATACACCAGTAAATTGAAAATTTCTTGTAGCTCCATTAGTTTCAATCTGAAATTAAAGATTCATTATCATGAAAGTCAAAATTATAAGTGCATGTAGAATAAATTAGAACTCTTAGTCAATTATCTCTCAAGAAACAAAAACAAATTTGAATTACCTCCCTTTAGTCTCCAGCAAAATGAAAGTAGAAATGTTAACTCAAAATTCAACAACTTCACCACTGCTGATAGTTCTTAACAAAATCTGTATTAATATTGACCAAACAGCTTTTGTATGGCCAGAATAAATTTGTTTAGATACTTCTAACATTATTATAGGATTAATTTGACTTTATCATAAATTTAACTTACAGTAACTTGACCCTCTCCAGGAAACTCCAGTGAGAAATTGTCAGTTCTTGATACCTCATTACTGTTCAATGGTCGCACTCTGTAAAATCAAAAGAGTTATTCAGAATTCAAAAATAAAACTGAACTCCAAAGACAGACAGTTGTGGAAGTGCTAAAGATCAAGTCTCAATTGAAGCGAGTTTGAAGTTGTATTGGGAAGCAACTTCTTCAAAAGTCATCTGGGTATTTTATATAATTCAGGCTGGCAGAATAACTGCTAGTGCTGAAAAAAATTGAAGCCTTCATCAACAAAAACAAGATACACAAACTTTAAAATCAGAGGTGAAGCTTATCCTTTCAGCCTCACCGATCTACATGCAAAAGCAGCCAAATGTGACCTGGTTACACATACATGTAGTCCACAGCTTGACGACTGATATATATCTGTAAGCAAGAGGGCATCAGTGTTTCATAGAAACTTTACAGAATCCAAAAGGTGCTGAATGGGATACCATTACATTTCATTACAGGTGCCAGAATAGAAATGGCATTATTCTTATATCTATTGACAGGAATATACTATTTATTTTAAGAAGAGGAACTAACCTTACAACCACACTAAATTGATCATCACTGGATTCTTCATATGGTGTAATAGGGGCAGAAGACAGGGTTGTTGAACTCCTACAAAGTTACAAACAAACATTAATTAACATAATATACAGATACAGGCTGGCCTTTCATGTCAAACTGAGTTCATAAAATTGAGACAAATCTACCCAATAGCTTAGAACATGACAAAAAATCTTATTTTGGCTTCATCAAGACTTTTGCTCACAGTTTTGTTGTCAGAGGACATATTGTTCTATAGTAACCATTTTAACTTCATATGACCTTGATCCTAAAAAGATAGTTTGGTTTATGGGTAAAAAAAATTAGTATTATCCTATTTAGTGAGTTTCTAGTTTTTTTTTCTAATTTGTCCTGAATTTAAAAAACAGATTCAAATTACATGTAACTGTACATAGTTATCGTAATTAGAAAAGGTCACTATGAGTAGATTATAATTTGAAATATGAGAGGTTGTCAAACTTGTTAAATATTTGGACTGTAGCCATCATAGACAATGGTAACATGATAATATACTACGTTTGACAATTTGATTCATAATGATACACCATTCATGATCACTATATTATAAACAACACTACACCACACCCAATTACTTATTTACCTATTAGTACTGACACAGAGCTTGTTGTTCTGAGTGGTTACAATACATGGGCACAGATCGTGTTGGAGACACAGATTATAAAAATGCATAACTCCGCCCTCAAGCACAGAAACTGGACCTGGAGCCTTATTCTTGAAAACCTAACTTAGATGATTTCAGTGTTCTAGTCGTCTGATTGGTCAATCACTAAAATTGATTTTAAATTTAGTTTTTTCATCCAATCAGATTACTGTATTACTTAAAATCTGGATTTTATTTAAGTTAAGTTTTGGATAATAAGCCCCTGTACGATCAGGCTTCATCAAATTTACTTGCGTATTCGTGTAGGTCTGAATGGCGTTTTGTGAACTCTAAAAGGGGAAAAGGGGCTACTTCTCTAAAAAGCTCATCTCCACCAACTTTGTCAATAGCTCTGCTCTCCCATTACAATATTATATAAATCATTATATATTCTACTACAATTGAAATTGTAATATTCATACTACATACAAAATGATACACCTTGATAATCTTGATACAAATACCCATACCACGCTAGAATTCTTTACTATAGCTGGCTTCATAAAAACCCACATAGACTTTTTACAACAAAACAGTAACTATAACCTTTCTTAGACAAATAACTCATACTAATTAAATATTTATCAAAGAATTACTTGGTGCTACCAGTAATTAATCAACACTGACTGCTCTTTAATCAATTTATAGAGAAATAATTCATTGGGTTTATCTTTTTTTTACCCTAAATTTCTCTAAGATCTAGTATTTGATGGACCTGTTCTCTTTCCAAAAAGTAAAATTTTAACTTGAAATTTATCTGAATAAGGTGGTCAAGTTTGCCAAATGAGGAACATAATGTTGAAATTTTTAATATGAACTGATATACCAGGGAAATATCATATACACTTTCAAATACAAGGGCACATATCTTGAAAGATAATGAAAAAGTTACAATTTCTAAACCTTTTCACAATTTCAAAATAAATTTTAGTTAAGGTATAATAATTAAATACCCACATTTCATTCTAACTCATTGTTTTATAACATTATATATATATTTCTAAACACTTATTATATCATATTTGAAACGAGTTGTAATTGATACGACTAATCCCAATATAATCCTAATCTTATATTCACTCAACCAATTCACTATAGACAATATAGTTCTACATCTATTTTAAATATTCAACATATAGATTGTATTTGAAACAGCAAAATATATTGAATGAATTTGAAGAATGTATCTGAAGACTTAACAATGTATCTGAAGATCATACATTGCATCTGAAAACTTTACATTGTATCTGAAGATTTTACATTGTATTTGAATATTTTACAGTGTATTTGAAGACTCTACAGTGTATCTGAAGACTCTACGGTGTATATGAAGACTCTACAGTGTATCTGAAGACTCTATGGTGTATATGAAGACTCTACGGTGTATTTGAAGACTTTACGGTGTATCCGAAGACTCTACGTGTATCTGAAGACTCTACGGTGTATTTGAAGACTCTACAGCGTATCTAAAGACTCTATGGCGTATCTAAAGACTCTACGGTGTATTTGAAGACTCTATGGTGTATCTGAACATTTATAATACATCTCAAGATTTCACCAAACCAAACAGAAAAAGACCATTTTAGGCTTATAATAAGCAATTTCCATATGATTCTGAACAACAATCTGGATAAATTCTCAAATAGGAATTTCTAAGAAAAAGTCTTCTTTGATAAAATCAACAAACAAATTGCATTACAAACCAGCCTGACAAAGCATGAGAACAAAATTTCACTTCTGTGTAGATTTATTTGAAGGATTGAAGAGAAGTCAAAATATATAGATAAAAGTAAATGGGTTTTTAAGTAAAGGAAGAAAATGGTATTTTTCATGATCCATAATCATATTTAAAGGAGACATACCCTAACATAACTCAGTAGCAAGTAACATTGTCATCACCATTTTTATTTTAAGGTTTGAATCCCTCCCTCTCCTTTCTTTAAGTAAGAAAAAAGACACATCTCCACTTTAAATAACATCAATTGTGCTTTTATCAAATCAGACATGAATCAATATAAAATATCATAAAATTAAGTGACTGCAATAGAATTCATAAACATTAGATTGCTAAAATTGTAAGTTCTTAATGGCTTGAAGATCAATATCTAAACATCAAATAAATCAGATATTTTCAATATATCTTAAGATAAGCAACTTGTGTCTGTCTTCCAACAACTAATTGGATAAGACAGTTTGTTTTGGATACTATCAACATTTCACATTTTCAATACCTCACTTAGCTATAAACAAATGTAAATAAGAGCAACTAAGAATAAAATCACAAGGTGATGCCTGCCAGGAAAAGGTGATGCCTGCCAGGAAATATTCTTATCACTAGGTAATGCCTGCCAGGAAATATTCTTATCACTAGGTAATGCCTGCCAGGAAATATTCTTATCACTAGGTAATGCCTGTCAGGGAATATTCTTATCACTAGGTAATGTCTGTCAGGGAATATTCTTATCACTAGGTAATGTCTCTCTGGGAATATTCTTATCACTAGGTAATGTCTATCAGGGAATATTCTTATCACTAGGCAATGCCTGTCAGGGAATATTCTTATCACTAGTCAATGTATGTCAGGGAATATTCTTATCACTAGGTAATGACTGTCAGGGAACATTCTTATCACTTAGTAATGCCTGTCAGGGAATATTCTTATCACTAGGTAATGCCTGTCAGGGAATATTCTTATCACTAGGTAATGCCTGTCAGGGAATCTTATCACTAGGTGATGCCTGTCAGGGAATATTCTTATCACTAGGTAATGCTTGTCAGGGAATATTCTTATCAATAGGTGATGCTTGTCAGGGAATATTGTTATCACTAGGTGATGCTTGTCAGGGAATATTCTTATCACTAGGTGATGCTGGTGACACCAGCAAGGGAATATTCTTTTCATGGGTGATGCCAGCAAGGGAAAATTCTTTTCACAGGGTGATATCAGCCAGGGAATATTATTTTCACAGGGTGATACCAGCCAGGGAATATTATTTTCACAGGGTGATACCAACAAAGGAATATTATTTTCACAGGGTGATACCAGCCAGGGAATATTTTTTTCACCAGGGTGATACCAGCCAGGGAATATTCTTTTCATGGGTGATACCAGCCAGGGAATATTCTTTTCACAGGGTGGTACCAGCAAGGGAATATTCTTTTCATGGGTGATGCCAGCCAGGGAAAATTCTAAATGTACACAAGTAAATTTTTTCACAGCAAAATTTAAACTGATCCTATGTTTTTCATAGCTAAGAAAATATTTCACAAGTAGATTTGATATATTTAGATGTCTCCCCAAACTTTCCAAAGATGACATTTTGAAACCATAAGTTTACATATTTAATTCAAAGACTTAGGATAAGTGACTGATTCTTTACATATTTAACTATACAACACTGTCTGAATGAGAAATGGTGAGTAAATATCAGAAAGAGTATATCACTACATCATTACCTATGCCTTGTTTCTATTTGTCTTATAGACAGCTTCTTTCTATAACAGCTTTGAAACACATATTATGATGCCCAAAATGAAAACATTTCATTTGACAGATTCTTATGAAAAACATTTGGGTAACAATTGAAGGAGGCATACTCCCCCTACACTCATTCACTCAGCAAAAACCTGATACAAAACTACTACATTAAAATTTCTGCATCTGACATCACATAACTAATGGTTATTTATTGAACAATATCGGTGAAGATTGATGATTTATAAAACTGACAATAGATGTCATAAACAAGTGCACTTAAATAGAAGTTAAATTTTGAAGAATCATTGATTTCATTAAGATTTTACTAGGCTATTCATCAAGCCGTCTATAATATCTATACAATTATATCTAAAACAAAAGAGTGTTGGAATATCAAGTAAGTCAATAACACAGTAAATTGTATGAACTGTTTTCACTAGGAATCAATAGGTTTAAAAGGATGCAAATGGATTAAGACTGTAGTGTTTTGCTCTCAGAAAAGGTCAAAATACCACCTTTAACAATTTGGGTTCCTAGTCATTGATACCAAAATGGTATGCAAAAACAACAACAATATTTCAGAATGAAACAATATGACACTACATTCTAGATGTTGTTCACTTAAAGAGATTGTCGAGAGGTTGCTTCTCCATTACCTAATAGAAGTTTTAACAGAATTGAAGAGTTGTATGACATTTGTGGAAATCTGTTTGGGTCTAGAGAGAACCTCTTGAACATTTGTCTGGATAGACTGGATAGATTTGAGCCAGAATAATCACTATCCAGAGTTAAATTGTTGTGATGGAAATAGACTATTTTTAGGAATTTTATTTTATTATTTTTCATGGATTAAAATCAGTCTATTAAATTTAGGAAAAAATATAGTCTTCATGTCAGATTCCTGTTTCATAAAATTGTTGTAAACACTTCTACTCTAATCTTAGAATTGATTGTTCTGTCATTTATCAAATATTCAAAATTAATTTTAAATTGCATTCCACTTGTTTAAAGCTAAGTGTTTGGTGATTTGAAAGTTGAAATAAACACAAATAGGTAAGTAATAGTGATTGTTAGTTTTACCAGACTCACTCAGTGCAACAAGACAGAATTGAACAAAAGGCCAGGACTTAATAAGATTATTTTCGTTTAATTCTGTCTTGTTGCACTGGCACTGGTAAGTTATGTATGTTAATTTCAACTGTCAAATCACCAAACTGTAAGCTATAAACATGTGAATTGCAAATAAAATTTATTTTGAATATTTCATACATGACAGAAAAAAATCAATTCTGAAATGTCCCAAATACAAGTTCAAGTGTCAACAATACACATTGAAAGGCTAGAAAACCTCTTTAAAATCCCATCAACAACTGGATATCAAAAAGAGTATTGTCTATTTTCAGTAGTAATCAAATCTGGAGGTGAAAAAAAGGTGTAAAACTCTTAATTTCATTTCAAGAAAATTAAGGCAAACCATGACCTATATGTGATCAAATCTTAAAAAGGTTATTATCAACTCACTTATATAGTCACACAACTTTGCATAAAGAAATTGGAAAGCAAAAGTAGAGCACAATCATGTTTAATCTTTAAAGAGAATCTTACACAATTACATTGAATGACTGTTTAAACTTAAAGTACCATGGTGAGTTTTGAACGAGTTATTGATAAAGATCAATAGTACTTGATTGATTTGATTATCATTTATTTCCTCACAATTAACAACTAACCAATCAAAATAATAATAAATCATAACAATTATTGGAATCTATTAATGTGGACAATCCTGTTTCCAACGTCCAATATCAGACAAATATAAATTGATCTCAAGAACTGTTTCAAGGACACAAGCTTATTTTCTAGATAAAAAACTAGCTCAATTCAAACCCAGTTTCCTTCAAAAAAAAATATTATAATCCAATTTTAGTTTTAGTGTTATTTTCCTATTTTTTAAGTTTATATAGAGCAATATACCAAGATATTAATATTTTCTGTGAAAAGAAGCACAATTCTGCTAGGATATGTGTATCTGTGAGTGTGACACATTGGTTTCAATTAAGAGTTTCATGAAATAAAGATATTTCAACTTGATTCTATTTACTATAGCCATGTAAAAGTTCCAACATATTTGGCTGTTATTTGGTCAAAATATCCTTTGCTTGAAAAACCCAAATGGGATTAAAAACTGTTCCAGTCAAAAATTCTCAGATTGTTTCTATGAGGTGTCCGGTAATAAAAATATCAAATCAAAATCCCTGAACCCTGTTTTATTTTTACAACCACAATTTATCTCAAGTGTGGAAATTTCTTTGTAAAAAATTTCACACAAATCAATCAAAAGTTTTTACAAAGTCTGGATAAATAGCTGACCTCACAACTAAATGTTATCTTAGAAATCTTTAAGTTCAAGTATTTGATTGTCCAATACCATAATCAGGAAAATCAGGGGGGATAATTCTTGAATTATTCAACAAGCACTTCACATATACTTGGCAGTTATAAACACAGGGTCATATTTAATATTCAGTATTATAAGTATCTACTAATATTGACTTAGTAAGGTACCACTATACCGTTATTGTACCTTTATTATTTAAAAGATTAGGCAGATGAGGTATTCCTTAATCCACTTGAAAGACTATAGGGGGTAAAATGGTATCTTAGTTAGGCATTGAGGAAGTAAATTCAATTTGGGGGCAAGGAACATAGGAAATGGGTGTTGGTTAGGGTTTTATTGGGTTTTTTTTAGACATTTTTTGTGGGATATATCAATTATACAAATTCAGTTGTCAATAGAGATTTCAGAAAGAAATTACATCAACTCTTATTGAAATATGCTGTCATAACTAAGACATACAAATTCAAAATAGACCATTTTAAATAAGGTATATCAAATTTAATATAGACCATTATTTGAAAAACAAAACAGTAATGTATCTACAAACAAAACACCCACAATATACTTATATAGTAATATAATGACTATAGGCATTCAAGTAGAACTGACAAATATCTCAATAGTAGCCAAACAATTTAAATTTTCATTATAATCAAAAGACAACAAAGACGATTTTCCTAGCATAGGTCTATTATCTTCAATATTTAATGGCAATGTAGGTGGTAAGAGCAATTCTTGGAATCAAGACTTTCAGTCATAATTACTTCCTTCCTTCTCACGCAGAAACGTAACAAAACCATGGTGCTATTCTCCCAAATCGAAATTCATACATTCATGGTCAACTCTAAGACTTTAATTACATTTAGGGAAATTTTCTACGGTATTCCATGAAATCGTAACATGTACACTCAACCTGGATTACTTTCTTTGGAAACTTTTTGAAGCTGTGTTTTACAAAGATAGTACATGTAACAACTACTTTCAAGGTCAATTATCACCCGGCTTCAAAGTTTCAAGGTCAAACGTGCAATTCGTCAGCAAAACTTCACGTAATTTGGAAAAATTTCACCTCAAAGAACTAAACTTACCCGAAATTTTCACTTCTTTTAGATTTCCTCGAAAACCTCTTTCTTTGATCATATTCAGGCGTGTTAGAATCTTCCGGTTCGTCCTGTTTTTCAGGCACATGAAATTCCTCAATATTCCCCTTATTCTGTTCGAGTTCCTCCAATTCCTGATTGTCCGTAATTTCTTCACTCTTGTCTGTTAATATCCTACTATTTTTGGCTCGATTCTTAACTTTACGTTTTGTCTTATTTTCCATATCTTTCATTTTGAAAGACATTCAAGAAATTGATGTAAAAAATCCGACCCTTTTAATTCATTGATTTACCAAATAAAAGCTTCCTCTTGTGACTACCTCATTCCAATAGAATTCCCTACAGTTCTAATTGATGCGTGATGTATCTATGTCACGTGATTTAAAAGAGGCGTGGTTACCTGTATATCCTACCTGTAATCAACCTTGGAGGTTGGTCTGATTTGCCTTCGAACTTGACAGATGAATAAGTTTTATATTCCAATAAATGTGTCGTTTAAATGAGTTCTTTGGTGATAGATGATGAAAATACAGCAACCGGCGTTTTATCGTATTCGGTTTTGTTTGCGACAGTTTGGTATCATCCTATAGCAGGTTTGCATGGCATTGTCTGTTTCAGGCAGTAGCTGAAAAAACGACCATTATCATCACTGAAACTAAACACCCATCTTCACTGTCCCTTTGCATAGCTATATAACTTGACAAAAAATCAAGTCTGGCTACGGGTCTGATCTGTTTTCATAAAATACCAGCAATAAGACGTAAAATCCTTTTGTATGATTTCACATTCACTGTTTGAACGTTGTAATAGTCTGTAGATAAATTGATGCCAAGAAATGTACAGAGACGGGCAACAAATGGTAAATATAATGTGAATGCACGCTTTCTTGACATACTATTATGCTTCATCGTCTCATTCAGCGCTTTTATCGAGACGATTCTGTATTTTAACACCCAGACTACCCCAAAGCCTACAAGACATATCAGATAGTTGGGTAGGCTAAAGCCAGAGTTGGAATGACAGTTTTCACCCACCGTATTTGATGGCATCGTTACGAGTGTTATTAAGCCTGTGTTTATGTGTTATTGTTTATATCAAATGTTAGAGTGTGTTGATAACGGCCGCTATCCAGTTAACTTGAT